ACCACAGGCTTAGAGTGCCAGATAGAGCAGGAGGCTGTATCTTGAAGATCTGTTCACCAAAATGTGGCACAGAGGCGGAAAAAAAGGGAGTTGATTTGAAGCGGCTGCCTAAACATATTTTGAATAAGCAAAAGCATTGAACAGACCCCATGCCAAAGCCACATTCTTAACTAGCCTGAAAGGAGACACAATGAGCCTGAAGAATAAGCAACATAAACACGTTTTTTCAATGTGTCAGCTCTAACCCAGCACTTTACAAGAGTTCCATAATTTTTGCATTAGAAACTTCCTCAAATGTATTTAAAAGTTGAATCTTTAAAAAGCAATTAACATAATAAATCATCTACAGCCTAAACTTTGCATTTCCGAAAAGCCCTACCTCCTTGATGTATAAGTAGGGCTAGCTGGGCTTTATTTACCTCTTGATCTTTTTCCTCTCACTTCACTGTGAAAACTGCCCTGCATCTACCACCAGGAAGAATTTGATGCATAAGAGCTTTGAGGACTTTTACTTCTACAACTGAAGGTTCTGACTGTCTGGAGTTACACTCACAGAATAAGTATACTGTGCTATTCTCTTCCCACCCTAATGCTAACCACACCTCCACCTCCAACTCATCACGGGCCAGCACATACCTGGTGAATAATACTCCTCTGTAGGTTGGTTATTCCTACTCTTGGTATTTCTTGACCTGCCATCTGACCTTCCTGTGAGAGATGGAGGGTCCTTGGAGATTTGAAGAGTGAGAGGTGTGTATAAAGAAGAATGAGAAAGATAAGTATGTTTAACTGCTTGCAACAATGACATGTCATTTCATAAGTTTTTCTCCTTGAGAAGGAACTCTTTAGAGAACCTTATTTTCTTTGTGGAGATCAAGAAACAATTGCAGGTCTTCATTAAGCCAAGAAAGCCATGGGAATAACCATAGATTTTCTTGTTCCAGCATCCCAAGCCTTTCCCTCAGTACTGAAAGTTGATAGTTTCTACTAGTTAAGTTGATACATTAACTTAAAAGGAAAAAGGCATTTTTGTACACCAGCAATGAAATAGAAGACGAAGAAATCAGAAAAAAATACCATTCAATATAGCAAGAAGAAAAATAAAGTACCTAGGAATAAATTTAACCAAAGAGGTAAAAGACCAGTACGCAGAAAGCTATACAACATTGAAGAAAGAAATCAAGGAAGACACAAATAAATGGAAGCATATACCATGCTCATGGATTGGAAGAATTAATACCATCAAAATGTCCATACTACCCAAAGCAATTTATAGATTCAACGCAATCCCTATTAAGATACCAATGACATATTTCACAGAAATAGAACAAACATTTCAAAGGTTTATAGGGAACCATAAATGACCCCGAATAGCCACAGCAATTTTGAGAAAGAAAAACAAAGTAGGAGGGATCACAATTCTGGACATCAAACTCTACTCCAAAGCCACTATACTCAAAACAATCTGGTACTGGCACAAGAACAGACCCATAGACCAGTGGAACAGCATAGAAAGCCCAGAAATAAGCCCAAGTCTCAATGGGCATCTAATATTTGACAAAGGGGGGCAGAAGCATAAAATGGAGCAATAATAGCCCCTTCAACAAATGGTGTTGGGAGAGCTGGACGGCTACATGCAAAAAATTGAAATTGGGTCATCAGCTGACACCATACACAAAAATAAACTCAAGATGGATAAAAGACTTAAATAGAAGTCGCAACATCATCAAAGTCCTAGAGGAGAACATTGGCAGGGAACTCTCAGATATCCCACCAGCAATTTTTTCACTGATATCTCTCCTAAAGCAAGGGACATAAAGGAAAGAATAAACAAGTGGGACCTCATCAAAATAAGAAGCTTCTGCACGGCTAAAGAAAACATCAGCAAAATGAAAAGGGAACCAACAGTATGGGAAAATATATTCGCTAATGATATATCAGATAGAGGGTTCATCTCCAAGATATATAAAGAACTCACTCGACTCCACTCCAAGAAGACAAACGATCCAATCAAAAAATGGGCAACGGACCTGGGCAGATGCTTTTCCAAGGAGGAGATACAGAGGGCCCAGAGGCATTTGAAAGGATGCTCAGCATCACTAGCCATCAGAGAAATGCAGATCAAAACCACCATGAGGTACCACCTCCCACCGGTCAAAATGGCCATCATAAACAGATCCACAAACAACAGGTGCTGGTGAGGCTGTGGAGAAAAAGGAACACTAGTCCACTTTTGCTGGGAATGCAGACTGGTGCAGCCATTGTGGAAAGCAGTGTGGAACTTCCTCAAAAAGCTGAAAATGGAACTGCCTTTAGATCCAGTGATTCCCTTGCTGGGACTATAACCCTAAGAATCCCAAAACGCCAATTCAAAAGAACCTATGCACCCCAATGTTCATAGCAGCACAATTTACAATAGCCAAGTGTTGGAAGCAACCTAAATGCCCATCAGTAGATGATTGGATCAAAAAACTATGGTACATTTACACAATGGAATACTATGCAGCAGAAAGAAAAAAAGTACTAAACTTCACGACAGCATGGATGGAACTCGAGAGTATTACGCTAAGCGAAATAAGCCAGGGGGCAAAAGACAAATACCATATGATCTCACCTATAAGTGGAACCTAACCAACAATACAAAGATGCAAGGAAAATAAGACCAGCAACACTGAAAGGAAAAGAAACCAACAGAGACAAGAGGGAAGAGGGGAGCGGGGGAAAAGGAAGGGAAGGGGAAAGTCAAGGAACATATAGCAAGGACTCATGGAGAAAACCAAAGGGGAAGAGTTGAGGGGGGGGCAAGGGAAAGTGGTGGGGGGTCGGTAGAGACAAATGTATTTGAAAAAATAAATAAAAAATACAACAATAAAAACTACTTCATTGCTAAAAACAAGGAAAAAGAAAAAAGAAAAGAAAAGAAAGATAGGAGAGGAGAAAAGAGGAGGGGAGTGAAGGAGAGGGGAGGGAAGGGGAAAGAAGGGGAGAGTAGGCAAGGAGAGGGAAGAAGGGAAGGGAAGGGAAGGGAAGGGAAGGGAAGGGAAGGGAAGGGAAGGGAAGGGAAGAAAACAAAGAAAAAGCCCAACTTACATTTGTTAGCATTGTCTGACCAGCTTCCCTTCCTTCAGGGAACTGCTTTCTCTCCTGCACTCCATATAATTTTCATGGGATTGTCAATGACATGGCACAACATGGCATAAGCCAGATCAAAGTCTGACTAGTGTTTTACCCTCATGTCTGATAAACAGATGCTGTGTCACAGAATCCTGCTGATTTCTCTGTAATGATATAAACCTAGACCTGTCTGTTGGGGCTGTCTCCACAAAATAAAGGAAAAAAATAAAAAATATGGGAAAATAAAGTTAATATAAAAGAATAAGGTAGAAAAATTACAGTGACTGCTGAGAGTCTCTGGAAACACCAGGCCAAGTTGAGAAGGCTATTAAATTTGATATTTTTTTCTTCTTCCTTCAAAGTAGTTTGAGTTGGGATTGCTTTTTTTACTGTCAAGATAAAATATCTTGACTAATGTATTCAGATGATTTCTAAAAGACAGTCTGAAATACAAAAGTCCATTCAAAAGTGCTGAGTTATGATGTTGAAAGGTGCAGACTGCAGACGGTAGGCAATTTAGAGAACTGGGATGGTGGGCGGGGGGAGAGGGAAGTGATCACAGGCAGTCTGAAAGATATGCAAATCTTCAAGCGAAGCTTGCTTTGAATCTATAAAAGCGGTAAAGTGGGAATGTTTCTGTTTGGTGGGAGTGGTACATTTTGACAATAGGTCAGCAGCAAAACTAGGTTTACCCACAAAGGCTTTCCAAGTGGGCCCGTGTTTCTATCATCCAGGTCACTGGACTGTACATAGCAGGCTGATTCTGGTGATCGCCCCTAGAATCATCTATGTTCCCATACTGAAACTGACCAATTGTGTGGAGACATTTCATAAGTCTTGAAAAGCTCATCAACAGCAAAGTTCTGATTGGCTGATTGCATGCAGAAAAGAATTTGTCTTTTAAGGCCAGGCACAATGTTTTAGATATTGTGAAAAGAGAGGAGAAACACAAGAGAAAATCTATTCTAGAGAAATCCCCTTCTTGCTTACAAATATACCTAATATTAATTTTAAATTTAATGTTATAGACTTACTAATAAACATTTGCAATTAGCTTTTTATTAGATTCTTCAGTATTATGCATGGAAAACTATACATATGTTGTATTTCTTAACTTTCAGTTTTGCTTCTGAGTTTTTTAGGTGATTTCCTACATTTATTTAGGAATCAATTTTGGAGAAAAGGTAAAAGAATATGCATATTAAAACTGGTATATCTTTGTGCTTTTTAAACTATAATATTATTATTACTAGTAGGAATAGAAAAATTTTCAGATTCAAATTACATTCCACTTTATGAAAATATTCATTGTGAAATTTTGTGTTTCTTATTATCCTTTAGTTGGATGTATTGACTTATGGACAACATTATTTTTTCACTAATTTTTCTGTCATATTTCTTGTTTCTGTGTAAATGATTTTTTATTCAGATTAGCACACTTACTTCCTCTTAGCAAAGAGCAGATACAGGCATAGGCAGCATCGTTCGCTGGTTCAGATATCTCTTTGCATCTTGAAAGGCCTTAGCATTGACATGTGTTGTAGAGAATGTATAAAATAGGTAATTTCTGTGTTTATTCATGAGAGAAAAATGATACACAACGTATGTCTGCTGAATTAGAGGTTCTCTTGAAATATACCACAAAGGTTAAATTGCTAGTGACCTAAAAAATCCATATTCCTTAAGGAAACCTATAGAAATTCAGGCCTACTGAACCATTTTCTTTGTTGTGCTCAGGAAAGGAGACATTGAATTAAAACTTAAGGAGTAACAGAAATAAAGATCAAGAATTATGTTCAGATTTGATATTTTGTCAGAAATCTTGCAAAACGTATCATTTATTTATTCATTAAATTGATATATAAAGTTTTTGTTTCTTTTCTTTTTAGGGAAGAGAGCAAACACAGTCCCTCACTACTACAAATTATACACTTTCCTTCATTTCGGGAAATTACAGCTGTCAGCACATCCGGAGTGCAATGGATAAGCCTCACCCAATGGGAAAACCACCTTCATGATCATGGGGTCTCCCATGACAGCAAGTATGATTTTAAAAAAGTTTTTATTTAAGTACAAAATACATAGAAAAAAATGCAAGACAGTATGTAGCTTTCTGAATATTTAAAACCTTAACATACTTCTGTAACCATTAGTCAGACCAAAAAGACAGAATGTAACAATAACCCGAGACGTCCTCATTCTTTCAAGGCACTACCCATTCCTTCCAGGGTACACTGATTTCTAACACTTTTTATTAATGTAATTTGTTTTTCCTCTCTAAATACATGGATTCATACAGCATGAATGCTTTTTTTAACTGGCTTCTTTCATGTATCATGTTTATAAAATTCATCTATTTTGTTTTATATAGTTTCTGATCTTTCATTTTTATTGTCGTATAATAATGATTCTCAGCTTGGGTGATTTAGCTCCCAGATGGCATTTAACAATGTCCAGAGACATTTTTAATTGTCACAGCTGGAGGAGTGTTGTTATGGGCATCTGGTGTGTTGTGGGCAGTAATGCTGCTAAACATCTTACAATGTATGTGGCAGCCTCACAGAACAGTCATCTCAGCTAATCATCTAGTAACTATATGGAGAAACCCTGCTGTATACTGTTCCCATTAGTGAATTCACCTCAATTTATCCATTTTCCACTGATGAGCATATTAGTATTTTCTAGATTGGGGATATGTATTGTGAATGATACTGCTCTGACATTTTACCACGCGTATTTTGGTGAATATATGAAAGTCCTTCTGTTGGATCTATGTTTAGGAGTAGAATTGAGTGATCAATTAAAATTATTTATTGAGCACATGTGCTAAGGATACAATAATGGAAAAAAAGAAAAAAGACAACTCTACAAATTTATATCCTAATAGAAAGACACAAACATTCAACAAAATAAATAATATAACAGTGTGCATGGTAGTGATAAAAATTATAGGGAAATTAATTAGGAAAATAGAATAGATTTGGTCTGAGATGAGGGTGGTTGTAATTGAGATCATGTCCAGAAAAAAAAATGCTGGAACCAATCAGTATTAAATATTGAATGGAAATACCGGGTGGTGCTATGGTATAAGGAACAGGAGCATCACAGGCAGCATGAATCTCAAGTCTGAAGGACCCGATATGGGAGGAGTTCTGGAATGTTCAGAGGAATAGAAAGGACAGCAAAGTTGTCAAGTGTTATTAAGTCAGGATAGAGCAGTAAGGGAAGAGATCAGAGACATCACTGGACTTGATCAGAAGGCTCAACATCAGTGTAATCTGAGTGACAAACATACCCTTGATGAGTGTTTTGTTCATATTTTTTGTTCCCTATTTCCAATAATTCAGTGGGATAATATTAAGAACATAGGAGATAATTATGGAGTTTTTAACATATATATTTTTACAGATATATTACTTTGATTATTGTTTATATTATTATTGATGCTGCTACATTTTCATTTTTAGGGGTAATTCACAGTCCTCTGTGGATGATCACTTTGTATTTTAGAATGTTTACACTCTCCTTTGAAAGGTGTTGAATCTTCTTTGAAATTAGAAGGTGGTGAAGTGAAATATTTAAATCCACTCCTTTTTGAACCCAGCTGGCCACCATCAAGCCATCCACATAAAATGACAATGTCTCATTGGCAACAATAGATTTTATAAAATTAGGAGAGGATTCTATGGTTATGTTTGTGTTGCAGTCTCTCTAGGCTGGGCAGGTCCACTCGGGGCTCAGGTAGATGGAAGAAGATGTGTGGAACCGTGGGGATGCTTGACATGCCTTTATTTGGGAGGGTCACACAGGCCACAAGCCTGGGTCCGGGGAAATCACACAGGCCACAAAGCCTGTGTCCACGCTGCACACAGACCATAAGCCCTTGTAGAGGGAGTCACACACGCCACAAGCCCGTTTCCAAGTTGGCACCCTGACCCCCGAACTCGTCCAGAGTTCCTACCCCTTAAATACTAGCCCTAAACAAAGCAGGCTACAGACCAGAAAGTGAAGTAACTATCAGGGTCTGCACATGTGAGCCTGCCCAACCTATGGGGCAGTTTATCACATCCAGGCTCAAAGCCGTGAGACCTGGGCTCAAGGCTGTGGAAACACTGCTTTATCAGACTCCTTCCAGGTTGTGAGGAGCTGGTCCTTCCCGTTACCCATGCATCTAAGTGAGGGAGCCAGACCGCCTCCACCTACCCTACATGTTATACATGATGAATAAATTCAGCAAGAGCCTTATGCGCTATTTTGTTAACTATTGGAGTTCCACCTCATGAACTAGATCACGCTTCCTGCCTTTCTTCCTCCGTTTCCTTTTTCTGGGCTATTTTTGCCATCCCCTATGTTTTATTCGATTCTTATTTTCCCCTCCTGCTACATACCAACTGAATTTTTCATTAGATGTAAAGGGTATAAAAACATGATAGCAAATTAAATCATTTTGACTGTAGAGTTTGTAGAGGAATAATATATTGATAAAAGCTACAAATCTCCCCTATACTCCCTACCGCACCTTTCCCTCCACTTTACCATACTTTACCATTTATAATGAGCACCCACATTTTTGGCCCTAACTTTCAGGGAAAAAAAAGCCTTTCATTTTAATTTTTTAATTTAATTTTTATTTCTTTATATTTAGAAACCAAACCAGTTATATTTCAGGGTATTATTTTGCACACAGATATTGTGATTGCTTTCTGGAGTTACACTATTAATGCATAAGCATAATGCATAAATAAAATAATTGAAAACATTTATTTAGATACAGGTTAGTACTACCCATGTACAATGAGCATCCTTATTTTTCCCTCAAAAATTTGGGCAAGAAAGTGTTCATTAACTTGACAAAATAGAGTAATTACACATATTATGTTTGGTACTTTATAGTGTATTTCCAGATTTATTGAAGTAAAATTGACAAATTCAAAATTGTATATACTTAAAGTGTTCAATGTGACATTTTGATACACATATGCATTGTGAAATAATTACCACAATAAAGCTAATGAATCTATTTATCACTTAACATAGGTAAAACTTTTACAAAATACTGTGTTCATATACCTTTTTATTTTATGTACCAATCACTCAATGGTATATCAAGAACATGTGCGATAACTATGAGAAGAACTTTTTAAAAATTTATTTACAAAGATATATGACTTATTTTCATTATTGTTGTTTATATTGTTATTATTGCTGCTGCTGAATGTAAAGTTGATAAGAACATGGTAGAAAAAGAAATCTTTTTATTACATAGTTTATAGCAGTAACATACTGTAAATCACTCAAGATAAATTCTCGTAGCAAATTTCAAGGATATAACACAGTATTATTAACTGTAATTACCATGCTATTCATTAGATCTCTGGAACTTATTTATCCTGCATAACTGAAGCTTTGTGCTCTTTTATGCACATCTCCCTTTTCTGCCCTCCCTCCCTAGCAAACGCCTTTCTACTTGTTGCTTTTATGACCCCAGCTATTTTAGATTTCCCATGTAAGTGAGCTCATGCAGAATTTGCTTTTCTGTGCCCAGACTATTTCACTTAGCATAACACACTCTAGATTCATCCATATTTTCATGAAGACAAACTTTTTTTCTATTTTAGGGTGTATATATACACATCATATATATACACACACACACACACACACACACACTACACACACATATTTTCTTTATTTATTCATCTATCAAACATCAAATTCATGTAAGATGTTTTATATCTTAGATATTGTGAATAATACTGCAATGTACTTGGGCATGAAGATATATTTTTGAGACTCTAATTTCAATACCTTTGGATTTATATTAAGTGGGATGGCTGGATGGTATGGTAGTCATATTTTTAATATTTTGAGGAATCTTCATACTGGTTTTCATAATGGGTATACCTATTTATGTTCCTACCAACTGTTTATAAGTATTCCTTTTTCTCCACATCTTGTCAACACTTGTTATCTTTATTTTGGTAATAGTCAATCTAAAAGATGTAAGGAAATACCTCATTGATGTTTTATAATATACTTTTTCTTCCACAATATACTCGCATTAGGCTGAGAATAAAATTTCAAGAATGGCTTTATCACATTGTAGTTTTAGGCACCAATTATTGTCAGGCCTGAGAAACACACACTAATAAGGAAAATGAAACAAAAGGGAAGATGACCTCTCAGGAGAAGCTAAAGATAATGTATAGTAGTAAGAAAATAATATTAATCCCTTAACTACCTTGCCCACTCCTTTTTCTTTCTGTGAAATAGCAAATAAGAGAAAACACAACTCATATAACTTAAAGTAAATTCAGTTTCTGTGAGTTATTTCTTCAAGACTTATTGCAGAAACAGAGAGAGTTCCAGGGATTGTACCTTGCTGTTTAGATTGCTACTATGCAAAAGCACTCGATAGAACCCATGTGGTAATTATATTGATACCCTCTATTATTCTGCTTTCCATCATCTCTTTTACTTAGCATTTAAAACAATCTACTAGTAGCTCTTTTTTTATTATTTATATGATGTTCAGACTGCCTTAGATTGTTGCAGATCATGGTTTGGAGAAGTGTGAAAGGAAAAGAAAGTCTTCTTTGATGCTATCTTTGACCATCGATGGTCTCCACAGTGTTCGCAGATCACTAAGTATATGAAAAGCAATTGGAAAACAAAGTCTCTTGCTCATAACTTAGCTGGACAATAGACTATAATAGGTTAAAGAATCAGAGGTTGCATTCACTACAATTTCAATTGTTTTACTCACACATTTCCTTATCCTGTCTAAAAACTTAGGAATCTTCCTCCTTCTGAATACTTAACATTAAAAATTATTTGAAAACAAAGGCTATGTTTTCATAAATATAGTACTGTTGCTTAACAGCAAATCTGGAACACTGAATGCATTGAACACTTATTTATTGAATTAATCAACCAATTTCTTTTTTTTATTGTTGTTCAAGTACAGTTGTCTCCATTTCCAGCCACCCCCACACCCCCACCTCAGTACTACCTCCTTTTGGTTTTGTCCATGGGTTCTTTATACA